GTCTGTCTGTCTTTAGGGTTCTCTCGGGGTCTCTTCGTGGCAGCATTCACTCAGTTCATCATGGCTGCTCTCTGGAGACCCCCACTTACCCCTCCCAAAGTTCACTGCCTTGTCAAACGGAGCTAATCTCCTGCGGGAGGAAAAAGCTTCATTCACACTGGGGGAGGGGGGAGGGCAGAGGAGAAGGGGAGGGCTCAGGGGCTGCAGCCTGAAAACACCCCGGCCTATAATACCGCTTTTGTTCTAGGCTGGTGGGAGGGGGCGGTGGGGGAATGAAAGAAGGGATATAAAGGAGCAGGTGAAAGACTTGTCTTCGGCAGCCATGATAAGCGCTTACCCCTTCTAATCTGACTAAGGCCTATTATCTTCCCGCCAGAGTCATTACTATTAATATTAAACACCCCCAACCCCAGCTTAAAAACAACTTGAAAGCGTCGACTCCCCCTTCCCAGACACCTCCTGCAGTACCTGACCTCCAAACCAGGCTCTCAGACCCCACGGCCCTTGAACTTCCCCACGACCTTCCTTCCGTCCCCAGAGCCTCCTCCCCTCCCCCAGCCAACTCTTTCTCCCTCTAGTGGGCCCCCACCTTGGCTTTATTTCTGGGGGCTTCTCTGTGCCCCAGGCCTCTGCTCTCCCCCAGGAGGAAATGGAAAGTGGGAGGTTTGCTCCCCTGACCGACCATGGGTAAGTGTTCTAATCCTGTGAGCCTCGGTTTCCCATCTCTAAAATGGGAAGAAGATGTAGCCCCACAGCTAAGGGCTGCTTTAAGGATTATGTGAGTGAACGGGTAGGTGAATGAGTTCTTATCCCGTCCATGATGCAGTTTTCTTTTCATTTACTTTTATTTTATTGTTTTTTGCCTGTATGTATGTCTGTGTGAGGGTGCCGGATTCTGGAGTTACAGACAGTTGTGAGCTGCCATGTGGGTGCTGGGAATTGAACCTGGGTCCCATGAAAGAGCAGTCAGTGCTCTTAACCACTGAGCCATCTCTCCTGCTCCCCCCATGTGGTTTTATTAGTTAATTCATTATATTGATTTTAGTTTAAAATTTTATTTATATGTGTACGAGAGGCAGAGAAAGCACACACTCATGTGCCCTGCTACATGTGTGAAAGTGAGAAAACAACTTTATGCAGTCATCCATCTTTATGTGGGCCCCAGGGAGTAAGCACCTCTACCCACTGAGCCATCCTGCTAACCCTTATTTAGGTTTTGGGTTGTTTTGTTTTGTTTTGTTTTTTGACAGGATCTCACTCTTTAGCTCTGGTTGTCCCGGAATTCGAAATTTAGATCAGGCTAGCCTTGAACAAACAGAGAACCACCTGCTTCTGCCTCCTGAGGACTGAGATTAAAGGTGTGCACCATTGACTTTGTTTTAGATTTTGGGGTTTTTTTTATATAATTTACTTATTTTTACTTTATTTGCATTGGTGTTTTGCTGCATGTATATAGACTGTGTGAGGGTGTCAGATCTTGGAGTTACAGACAGTTGTGAGCTGCCATGTGGGTGCTGGGACTTGAACCCAGGTCCTCTGAAAGAGCAGTCAGTACCCTTAAACACTGAGCCATCTCTCCAGCTCCTTTGTTTTAGTTTTGAAACAGGATCTTACTAGGTAGTCTAGCCTGGCTTCAAAGTTATAATCCCCCTGCCTGAGACATCTTAGTATTGGCATTACAGCCACAGGCTGTCATACCCAGCTAATCCTCAGTATTTCACAGAGTGTGTGTGTGTGTGTGTGTGTGTGTGTGTGTGTAAATGTCTGTGCAGTGCCGAGGACCAGACCTAAACTTCACTCGGTCCAGGTGAGCACTGAGCTATGTGCTTGTGTGAGTTTCTGTGAGCCATGTGCGTGCAGGATCATTTAGCGAAGAACAGGCTGTTTGATCCCCTGAGACCAGAACTGGCTGTGAGCCACGGTGTGGATGCTGGAACTCTAACCCAGGTTCCCTATAAGTGCAACAAAAACTTTTAACCACTGAGCCATCTCTTCAGCTCCTGTATCTTATATTTTATCTTAGGAGCCTATGAACCTTGAATTTTCAAATAAAATTGTCAGATGTTTTATAAATTGAAAATGTATTATCAGGCAGTGGTAGTTCACATCTGGTAGTTCACACACCTGGTCTACGGAGTGAGTTCCAGGACATCCAAGGCTGCATAAAGAAACCCTGTCTTAGCCGGGCGGTGTCACAAGCCCTTAGTCCCAGCACTTGAGAGGCAGAAGCAGGCAGATCTCGGTGAGTTTGAGGCCAACCTGGTCCACAAAGAGTTCCAGGACAGCCAGGGCTACACAGAGAAATCTTGTCTCGAAAAACAAACAAACAAACAAACAAACAAACAAACAAACAAACAAAAAACCCTGTCTTGAAAATCAAAATACAAAAGATAAAAACAAAACAAAAGCCGAAAACACCCTAACCATTTAACTTAAAGAGGAAGTTTATTTTATCTACCATCTATCTATTTATTGTTGAGACAGGGTTTCTCTGTGTAACTTCCCTGGCTGTCCTGGAACTCCCTCTGTAGACCAGGCTGGCCTCAAACTCAGAGATCCGCCTGCCTCTGCCTCCCAAATACTGGGATTAAAGGCGTGCGCCACCACCTGGCATAAAAAGGGAAAAGTAAATGTTTAATTTAAAATTTAATTTTAACTTAAAACTTTTAATAAGTAAAAATTTAAATCTCAAAATAAATATAAAATAAAATGTCATTAAGAAATAATCCCTTCCCAAATCTCAGACAAACTTGAAGGGTGGAACTGGGCACAGTGATATACCTTTTTTATTCGGTTTTCGAGACAGAGTTTCTCTATGTAGCCCTGGCTGTCTTGGAACTCACTCTGTAGACCAGGCTGGCCTTGAACCTGCCAATGTGGTAGTATACTCCTAAAAGCCCAGTTCTCAGAAGACAAAGACCAGGAGTTCAAGGTCATTCTCAGCCACACAGCAAGTTTGAAGTCTGAAATGTCTCAGCTGGTAAAGATGTTTGCTGCCAAACCTAAAGCCCTGGGTTCTATCCCCAGAACCTACTTAGTGGAAGAAGAGAACTGACTCCCACGAGTTGTCTTCTGATCACCATATTCATGCCATGGCATGCATGCACATAGTCACACACACACACACACACACACACACACACACACACAGCCTATCCTTCCTGATTATTTGACGTTCCGGCACCATTACTGCTCATGTTCACCTTCCTTCTCCTTTGAGGTGGGTTTCCATGACTACCCTATGAACATGGTCCCCGGCACACTCACTCCATCGCCGAGTCCCTGGTACACTGGAGACAAGAGAGGGATCAGAAGACCAACAGAATTTGAGGTGTAGGAGATTGAAGTTATCTTGGGGTAGATGTCGCCTTCTGCCATGACCTCTTGAGGACCTCTAGGACACGCTTTGGACTAGAAAGGATCTCAGGCAGACAGGGAGACTGAAGACCTGTCCTAACCGGCTCTCTACCATCTGTAAGAGAAGACGGTCTCAGCTTCTTGCCTTGGAGAGAGAGAGACCGACAGACGGACAGACAGACAGACAGAGAGATAGCGAAACAGAGACAGAGACAGAGAGAATGTGTTTTGAAGAAAGTCTTACACCAGGCTAGCCTGGAATCTACTACATAGCCCAAGCTGGCCTCCAAGTCTCAGCGATCTTCCTGCCACAGTATCCTGCAAGTACTAGGAGAGAAGTCTTGCTACATTACCAGCCCTCTTTCTACTTTTTACTCTGAGACAGGGTCTCACTAAATTGCTCAGGCAGGCCTCGAACTTTGGTTCTTCCAGCTTCAAGTTTCTGAATAACTGTGATGACAGGTTCCTATGACTAGGCTCCTCCCCCCGCCCCACCGCCCCCATTTCTAAGAGACTGAAAACTGTCCAGCTTTGAGCAGTTTCAGTGTGTCCTGTCCTGGGGAAACGGGGGAAGTAGCCCATCCTGTATTTCTCTGCTTACTCAGACACTCAACCGACCGTCTCTTCCCTGCCCTTCTGCCTTAGTTAGCACAGGCTCAAGCATGCTGTACACTGTGCCCCAAGAGCCCAGGCTGCAGTGAGCAATGCCAATCCTGACACTGTCACTGGCTCTGAGACTTTGGGCAACGTATTTACCTTCTCTGAACTTCAGTTTCTTCCTCTAGGAAACGGAAACGGTCACAAGAATGAACGAACATGAAGTGCTTGAAACTGGGGTTAGA